GGGATTGAACCATGGTCCCTGTGCTTTGCTAAGCTTGTTCTAAGTAGGTGCTTTAGACCACTGAGCCATCTCACCAGCCCCCAAGAAATGTTTTTGTTACTGTTCTGGGGATAGGGATTTAGGGGTTGTTGGGGATTTAGCTCAAGCAGTCATCCATGCTAAGCACAGGTTTAATTCTATTTTCATGATTGAGATTTTATTGGTTGTGTTGAAAATTAGGAAGGACGTTTCACTTTCTTCTCAGTTCTTGACACTACTGAAAATCTCAAAAACCATGTACAATATACTTTTTCAGTTATCACAGTGACTTTCCAGTTTCAAAATTTGAAGGCATGGTGGCCCATGCCTGTAATCCCACCACTCGGGAGGCTGAGACGGGATTATTGTGAGCTCATGGCCAGGCTGAACTGCATAGTGAGACTCTGTCAAAAGGACAAAAGGAAAAAAAAAAAAAAAAAGGAGGCAAATTTTCCCCAAGAGGATATGTAGTACCAACATCTTCAAATGTTCATAAACTGCCACCAACTCACAATTTCATATCATATATACTGTTACTCAAACATGTGATTTTCTTCACAATACATTATTAAAACTGAATTGTCATGACCAAAGTTATAGAGTGTGATTCTGACAGGGCCACAGTCAGTGTTATTTTTTGAAACAGGATCTATCATTATTGTTCAGGCGGCCTTGAATTCACTATAGAGCTCTGGCTAACCTTAAACTCATGGCGATCTTCCTATCTCAGCAACCCAAGGGCTAGGATTACAGGTGTTTTACACTCAGCTAAGGAATGATTTTCTTTAGGAAGCAATTCAGTTAAAAACATGGTAACATGCTGCTTAGGCAGAGCACAGCGGCAGGGGTTCAGTCCCTGGCATGCCATGCCAGCCCCACCCCTGGGGCGCAGGCAGTTGAGACTGGGTGTGGTGACGCATGCCTGTAATCCCAGTGCTTGGGAGGCTGAAAACAGGAGAATCACTCCAAACTCAATCTATATAGTGAGACCCTGTAGCCCCTGTACCAAATACATTAAAAAAAAAAAAAATGGGAACAGAACTAACATAAGCAAGTTTAGTGGTATATACATGTAATATCATAATACCATTCTGGGAGGCTGAGGCAGGAAGATCAGAAAATCGAAGCCAACCTGCAAATAGTTCACGGTCAATCTGAGCTACATAGGAAGTCCTTGTCTCAAAAAA